AGCGGCGCCGCAGCCGGCCCCTAACAAAAGGAGCTCCGAGCCCGGGCTCCGCGACTCCTCTGCCCCTGACAAAGGCCGGCTGCTCGGGCCCCTGCGCTCCCATCGTCCGTGTCCCGGTAAGCCGGGGACCTGATACACAAACAGCCGGTGTGGCCAGGCCAGCTGGCTCCGAGGCTGTGCGTGCCTTTAGCGAGGAGCTCGCAGCACAGCGATGAAACCCGAAGGGTGCCAGCCACAGCTTTCCCCCGGAGCTCCCACTTCTATCCCCCAAATCCTGAAGGAGAGAACTCAGAAAACAAACCCTGGTCGTGGAACTAGCACACTGTTGCAAGTTAAGCATCTGTGTCCAATAGAAATAAACGGAAAGATTTTACACAGTTACTAATGAGATCATTTAAAAAAAAAAAAAAAAGAATTCAGGCAGTGTATCAGGCACAGATGCTGCTTTAGTGTTCCAAACAGCAAGAGAACCCACTGCTCTGAGAGGCACGTTCCTGCACATACACAGCTCACGGTTCACAGTAACCAGACTGTCAAGTTTGAGTGCAGCAAGAAGGGAAGGAAGAATGAAAGAATCACCTAAATACATGAAATTTTACAACTTAGAATCATTTAGGTTGAAAAAGACATTATAGGTCATTGTGTCCAAGCTTTGGTTTTGCAGAGGTGTCCCACCACCTGTGCCCCCATCTCCGTTTTGCTGTTGGGTATGGGAAGAAGGGCTGGTAATGGAGACTGGCCAGATAAATCCCCATTTTCTGCCATCTGAAGCTGACTTCTCTGTTTGGAAGCTGCTGCAGCTCCCAGCACTGAGCTGAGACCCCTCAGCCTCTGCCAGGAGGGGCAGTGAACTGTTTACAAACAGGAGCAGAAAGCCAATTCTCACAGAAAGAGGGCTTCTCAATCTTACACATGCCTGTAGGGAGGAATGTTAAGGATCAGGTATTTCCACTTCTCTCCATTTCCATTAACGAGGAATGGAGGGCAGGTCTTTCTGACCTACATGTTGTACAAACATGGAATTGGAACTGCCTGAGTGAGGAGATGTAGCTCAGACCCACAGGCCTCCAGCCTGGCCCTAAGGCTCAAGGGGATGGAGGGAAGTTTCCACCCTGCTAATGAAGAGTCTCTGTAGGCTGGTTGTTGCAGTTAAGATAGCTTCTTAAATAAAGCATGTGAAAAAACAAAGTTTAGCAAAACAAAAAAAAGAAAAAAAAAAAAGAAAAAAAAAGAGGGAGGAGTGAAGGGAGAAGGGCAGGGGAGGGAAGGAGGTAGAGAAACATGCCAAATTTTCCTGGCCAAAAGAAAATCTTAATGGGTTTGGCTGGGGGCTTGTCCAGCTGCAGCCGTGCTGTTCATGTGTGGGGGGAGAGGCACAGCAACGTGAAACACATGTCTGGATAAAAGCAGCAGGACATGGCTTGTGTTACAGCTGTCACAGTGCACAGGGCTCAGCCACAACAGTGGTTGTGGGAATGAAAGTACAAAATAATCCAGTTTGATAAGACAATGTCTGTAAGACATCCCCCTGATCTCAGAGCCTGCAGCGGGCCAGAGGCACCCACTGGGCAGCAGGGACTGTGAGAGGCTGGGAGACAGACGGGGGTGGGGAGCAGAACCCACCCCACACCTCCCTGCAGGCTCTCCCCACCACCCCACACCTCCCTGCAGGCTCTCCCCATCACACCACACAGCCACAGCTGATGACATTCCAGACAATTCCTCCTGAGGCAGCAGCTGCTGCTGCAGATTTTGGTTTTGAGCTCCTACACCCCAGTAGCACCTTTACTGGGATTAGTCCAAGATATTTCAAAAAACTCAAAAATGCATGTAATTTATGAGACTTGTAGATGTGAGGTCAAGGACATGGCACAGAAGTGGCTCTTGAAAGGTGGAGGAGTTTCCAGCACTCTCAGGGCCTCCAGATGCTGGACCTCAAACACAACTACTGATAGATCCCACTGTGTTTGTGAAGTCACTAAAGGCTTTCACAGGCACACAGCTACCTCTCAGTCAGCTTCCTGGGAAATGGATATTTTGCTAATATTAGAATAGACTTTCAGGCTAGATTCAAGCATCACCGACCCTAAAAAAAGTTCTCTTGTAGAACTACAGGTTTATTTTTAAAATTGACCTTTTCATTTCATTGGATGGCTCCGTGTTTTGGTTTCCCCACTTAAAAAATTTCTAGTAGTGAGGAATTATCTCATGGGGTTTTGTGGACATGCTTGTGGGATGGACTGGAGAAAACCAGGGTGCTCTGCAGAGGTGTAAAGAATCCCAGCTCAGTGCCCCAGCAGGCACCTCTGCTACTGAAACTGGGAATTCAGTGCCTTTTTATATTAATCTAATATGAGGTTGTAGGGAAGAGAAGGCACATTTACAGGGCTGCCTCAAAACCCATCCCCAAATGGTAGGTGGTAGAGATGAGAGGGTATTCCAGCCAAAGGGTGACCCAGGCAGGGCAGCTTTAAAATCTCAGGAATGTGTGGCCTTCTGTTCCAAACCAACAGACAAAGTCCCAGCTTTTCTCCCATGGCATTGAGCTACAATTTACTAGTTTGGGTGTGTGATGTTAAAGGGCTGAATTCTCTTGATACTGGAAACTATTTTCATCTGCTTGGGAATGAATTATAGGTCTGTCTGGCTCTGTGCACTCCTGTTTTAGGAAAAATGGGCTTGTCTGAGCTACAGTTAAGATTCACATGGCTGGTCAACTACAGTCATGGCAGCAAACACTGCATTAACAATGATGAGAGAAAACCATGCACTGATAATACAACTGCATTTCTATGGCCCTTTTCATCTCAGCAGTACGCTTAGAACAATAAACAATCATGAAGGAATTATGACATGCCAAAATGCATCCACACCGTAGGCACACCTAGCAACCCAGCATTGTTTGAGAACAGGAAACACTGCAGACCTTATCCATATAAAATCAGAAGGACATTTCAGGGACCAAGAACAAAGCTGGTACGTTTTGAAACTGGCCAAGCCTTCATGTTCTTTAGAAAGTGGCCAAGTACAGTCAAAGCTTATTTTAGAGTGTTAGACCAGAATAAAAAGCATCCCCTCCCCTTTGGCTGCTCAGCAACCTCCTTCCATGAGGTTGGGCTTGCCTTGTAAGATTTCCCACCAGATAAGCCCCCACAGTCCATACAGGCTTCCCATCCGAAGGTCCCATACAGGTCCAATTTCAACCAACTGATTGGACTTGTCTGAGTAAGAACAACACAGCATTTGCTTCTTCAGAGCCAAGGTCTTAAGGAAAAGCCAAGGCTGCAATGAGAATGTTGCCCTGGCATTCTACTTGATGGGAATATCAGGAATGCTCCAGAGACCTTACTTTGTAAGGTCTCTGGAGCACTCTTGCTGTGGGCAGTGGAGGAGAGCCAACTTACCGTCACTGGGATTTGCTGCATTAGGACTAGAGGCTTGAGCAGCTTCTTGTTCCACCCCAAACTCCCCCCTCCAAAACTTTTATCTCCACTTTTAGGTTACTAGAGCAACAAACCCACACAAGCACAGTAAAACCAATGGATCAGGATCATGGCAAGAACAATATGAGGAGCATGGTTGGGTTAGGAGCAAACAAGAATGGAAACCACACTTTCATCTAAATCCATCCTAAACAGGCTCAGTGAACAAAGTGTAAGAAGTATTGAGTAAAACAATGGCCCCTTCAGTTTACAACTACAGCAAAACCAGGGACTTGTTGCCTTTCTATCTAAAGATTCCCAAGCATGCTGTAAACTTGGACACACAAGAATTAACAAACAAAGCTCTGATGTGGTTCCATGTTCTGCTGTCTTGCAGAGATGAAGTCACCCAACAGTGGGATGTGATGACTTACTTAAAGTCACAAAACCAGGGAGCATCTCTGGCAGGCCATGGAGACTGCCTGTATTTACTAACTTCCAGTCCTGGGGCTAAACCACAAACTTAAATTTGTGCCTTTTGCACTAAAAAAGGCTGCTCAAATACCCCCAGGGCTATGTGTAAACAAGTGTCTCATTCTCAGCAGCTCACCCACTCCCTACAGTTCACCTTTGGATGCAGCTGTGTCCACACACAGATCAGGACAGACCAGAAAACCCTGCTCAATATAGAGCAATTCGACACAGGGATGTCAGACCCCACTGTACATGGTCACCCCAAAGCTCTTTTTCTTGGAAAAAGAAGCCTCCATATGCAGCCAGTTCACAGCTAAAAAGGAACCTTGATGGAGGCTTTTCTCTTGAATGTCTAGATTGAGGCTTTTTAATGGCTTTATTCTCCAAAGGGCTGAGCAGCCAACTTCTTTGAGTGCTTCAGCATGGCACAAGTCCATTAAAACAACTCAGAAAGATAATTTCAGTGCTATTATGGCAATTTTCACAGCTTTCTTCAGTGGGCACAGCAAGATGAATCTGCATTAGTGCTTTCTGGGAATCTAAATCTGTGTAAGTCTTAAACACAGGACATGCACTTTGATTTTACAGGGTCATGTAATCCTTGCAGCTGAGCAGCACACCTGCAGCTGTTTGCCATTCCCCAGCATCATTTCTGTGCTCTGTCCTTTCAACCAAGGCTAGTAACTCATGGCACGTGGCAGAATGGGCCTTTTTTCTATCAAAACCAAATAAACCCAAATTAAATTATTTGATTTATTCCCTCCCCCAGCTTGGCTTTGCAACATTAGAGAAGGGCAGAAAGGTTTGATGATCTAGTTCCACTGGCATCAATGATTAGATGAATTTCTTAAGTCAAAACCATGAATTTCAGGCTGCCACCCCATCCCAGCAGGATGTCACAAACTGCCTGTCACAAGACATTGTGTTACTTTCTTTTCTACGTGAGATTCTTATCTTGCTTCTCCTTATCTGATTTTTACTTCATGTGAGCTCTACAGCTGTGGAACAGAATTTCCTGACATCAGTCTGACAATGTGTTATGAAGACCACATTGCACTGTGGTCATTCAGGATTTTTTTCCATAACATGGATCAGTTCCATCAGCTCTGCTGCCCTACAGCCAAGTCTCCTCTGCTCTGGAGGGTTCCCATCCCCAGTGGGTGAAGTTTTGAGGAAGGACAATGATGAGCAAGAAGAAATTCCCAGCTGAGGAAAACACTGGCAGATAATTCTGTTTGCTCCAAAGCCCTGAGAATCTCTGAGGTACTAACTTGGGTGGCTCCTCCAAGCTCTAAAACAGCACTCCAGGCCTAGAAAGTAAACTGTCAGTTAAGGCCTACAACCTTAAGTTTCAAATCTCTTAAGACTTCCCTATTTTAATAATAATCTTCACAGTTACTGCTTCAACTGAATATCCTGCACCACCTGGCCTTTACTACTGTTGGTGAGTGGAAGCTTATTTGAACACAATATAATAAAAGAAATTAATTCTCACAGCTCCACTCTGTTATTGTAATTAATGTCATCACCTTTGTGTTTTAAATGAGGCAGATGCATAAGACAACTGGTTTAAATCACACTATCCGTACCCTTGTGCTAATCTCAAGGGTAAAGTCTTGGTTCCACTGAAATCAATTGGGAAAAGGTCACATCAAAACTAGTCCTGAACAAAGATTTTACATCACAAGTAGAATAGAACATACAAAATGAATGTAACTGGCTTTCTTGGGGGAGTTTTACTTTTTTCCTTTAGGAATTATTTTATACTTCACCCTTTTGTCTTGCTGCAGAAGTCCCAAAGCAGAGAGCCTTTGGAAGCAGAAGAAAGTGCAGTCAAGCAGGAAAACATTTGCTTCCTCACATTGGAGACTGCACCACCACCATCAAACTTTGTCCCTGATGTAATTGAAACAAAGGTAAACAAGCAACATTCCTTGCAAGTTTTAGAATAAAAACTCCTTCACTTAGCTCCAGATCAGGTAACATGGCCAGAGAGGAATGTCCATTACAGAGATAGCCTTTATCATTTTCAACTAAGCACTTTTCCAATCCACATGGAGTTCTACAATTCTGATCAGTAATTTTACCTTGTATAGCCAAATTTCACAAGCCTGGCTCTTAACACCTGTTGCTTCTTGTGCAACCCAAAGCATGGCATGGAAGTTTACAGGAAACTCCTTATGAGGAGAGCTTCTGGACAGGCAGAAACACCTCCAAAGGGAACAAACATTTTCACAATGTTAGAGCCAGAAATTTTATTTTTAATTTTTTTTTCTTCTAGAGCCAAGAACAGAAAACACAAATCATTTCACCTCTGCCTCCTCCACCATCTCTTGGAATGGCAACAAAATTGAAAATCTGCTGACACAGAATCCTGCAGCACTAAGGATAAAGCAGCCATTGCTGGAGCAGCTCACTTGGGGTATGCAATCACCAGGAAAGAAGCACTTAACCCTAGTCTCAAAAATTACCTTTTCAGGTCAAAAGACCACAGCTCTGCCTCCTTTCTAAGTTCCACAGCAATCTTTATGTGGATGTAGATTTTCCATCCACCCCCATTTCTAAGAAACCAGCTGGTTCCAATTTTTATTCCTTAGCTTGGATTTAAAAGAACAAAGAAAACCCCTTTTGAATTGCATAAACATACAAAACTAATTTAACTTGGCACTAGAGCACTAAAGCCCAGCATGCAAAGAAACAGCCAAGGTCTCTCTGTCCTCTGTGTGTTTAGAAAAACTGAACTCCAAGCATCCATTTGTTTGGGTAACCAAGCCAGATGTGCAGTAAGGAACTAACTGGTTTGTTCTGGAAGTGCTGTCTTAGTCACTTGGCTTTGTGTTATCACCAAGATCAAGATATTAAATTGCAATGTTCAAGTCCCAAAACCCAGTGTTGTTGACTGTTACAATGCACACAAATCAGTACATTTTGATATAATAATGAAATAAAAGTTATAACCCATTCTAGTGTTGACCTGTCCAAACACTTGTTTTAAGGTGGAACTATGGATATTTCTCAAAAATATCCAATTCCAGTTCCTGACTGAAGCAAAACTTTAAGGCCCATAGGTTTCATGCCAGCTAGTTTGTTGCAGTGCCTCCCAAAATTTTCCTCATGGGATAAAAGAGCACCAAATATTGGTGACAAAATGGAGGCACTTAACTTTAGCTAGACTAATAATATTTTTAGTAGCAATAGCTCTTGATGATCACTCTGAGAATAAAGAAGGCCTAAAATTACTGAGCAGGGCAGGAGGGATTAGCTCCACAAGGGAGATGTCTCCCTGACAGATCCAGGGGCTTTTGCTTTGCTCAGCATCAGCAGTGATGGGTGGAATCCACTTTTCAATTCATATATTGCTCCGTGGCTTAAAAGGAAAAAAAACCCTAAATTTAGCTTTCTTTATAAAATTGCACTCATCTGTAAGAATTTGAAAAGCATCCAGCTGTCCCTAGTGAATGCAGACTTTAACTTTTAGTATCATACAGTAAATGTTAATAAAACATTATTAATGCTATTGTATTGAGATGTTGAGGTAAATGCCTTTGTTTTTGAAGGGGGGTTCTGTAGCTCAAAGTACAAGAAGCCTTCAAGGGAGTCTACTTCGTGTTACTCAGTAAGAAACAACTGAAAACTATGTACAGTGGAGTTCAGCATTCAGAATTCAAGTTGGGTTAGAATTGCATTTGTTTCTGGAAGGACAAGTTAGCACAATTGGGGAAAAAAGTGCTTTGATTGGGTGAGAGCCAAGGGCAGGCACTGTCCAGTCTAACTCAGTGCCTGCTGGAAAAAGTGTCGTTGTAGAACACCGTTTGGACTTTGCTTAACAGTGCAGTTGACAAAAACACCCTCGAAACTGGATTTTGAAATTAAAACAGTGCCAGAACATGTAGACAATTAACAGTCCTCCACCTTAGCTACTGGGAGCAAGGACTGAGACCAGATAAACTTGTTTTCCTTGTGATCACCAGCTGTATAAGAAGGCTGGCAGCTCCCTAGCATTAGTCAGTAAAAAGGTTTATTCTCTGTTTGGTTCTCCCGCAGCATAAAGCCTGGAGAGGTTGTGACACAATGTCTTCTGACGGTTTTCTAAAGGAAGTTCAAGCCATTGGTGAGAAGTTTCTCCTTAAGCTCCAGAAACTGCCCAAGGCTGAGCCAGTGGAGATTGTCAGCTTTTCTGTGGTTCTTCTGTTTATTGGTGAGTTTGTGGGTGGAGGCAAAGGGGTGTCAGAATTTCTCTCCTCTCCTATGGGGGCAACTTGCTCCACAGGCTGTGTAGGTGGGCTGGTGGTGTTGGCTGTTGTTTTCTAGGCTGTGCTCTAAGGCCCAGGTTAATTCCTAGGTAATTTTTTAATACTCAGCATGTACCTCTACATGATTGTGGGGCATGACAGGCAGCAGTACAGCTTTCCCCAAAGCTCCCATTTTAAACATCAGTTAAATCAGCAATATTTTTATCAGCCCTGAGCTGCTGTAATGTTTTGATGCAGAGAAGACAGTTTATGACAAATGGTATTAGAGCATCTCCCTGCCACAGAAGACACTTAAGAGAGACTGAGTGTCATTCCTGTTCTGGCTCAGTGGAAGGCAGTATGCTTCAGATGAGCCTATTTATTCTTCTCTGGTAATGGCAAAATACCTCCTGCTGCTCTGTGTGGGGATGGCATGAAACAGAGAACAGCTGGATCAAGGGGGATGAACTTTGTTTATACAATGGGAAAACAATCAGGAAGGAAGACAGGACTTGCTCCCAGCCAAAAGGAAGGGTGTGCATCCAGCTGGACACTCCTCCCTGGGCTGGAATTCACCAGGTCACACCTGCTGCTTTATTTGGTTCATCCCTACAGCTGGTTCCCCACAGGCCTGGTTACCTGGCAGCCCAGGTCCAGGCTTTAAAGGAACACATGCACACACAGAGGTATGCTCACACTCTGACATGTTCTGCAGGATGGAACATGTCATCCTTTTCTACTCCAGATAAACTAACACATCACTGCCAACACCAACCATCCTGGCTCGAGTGGAGGACAGTAAGTTAGCCTGGTGTTCTGTGAATTGAACCCTTGCACTTGAAGTATCTTATTTTTTCAAGCTAAATACAGAAGAGTAAAGCCAACACAGTCATGAGTCTCTATGCTTAAAGAGTATGCTGAACTCACTCTTCAGAAATACAACTGCCAGTTTGAGTAACCGAATTCCCTCGAGTTTGGTTACTCAAAAATCCAAAGCTGGATTTTTGTCAGCTCCCAAACAACAGCCATTAAGTGAGTAAAGAAGCCCTGACATGACTTGAAATGTAGCTCTTAAGGTCTTGAAATGCCTAGTAATGATTGTCCAGATTAAATGGAAAACCAATACAAAGGAGCAGGAACTTAGGAGGAGGAAGATGGGGATATAGGGCAAAAAAAAATTCTCAAGAAACCAGGCTTTGCCCATTTTGCTGCTCACCAAACAACTTAGAGGAGACATAGGGTTACTCTGCAGGGATTGTTCCTATGCTATGAAGAAATAGCCTTTGTTTCTCTTTCCAGTTACTGTGCTGGTGCTCATGATCATTGCCTGCAGTTGCTGCTGCTACAGCTGCTGTGGCTGTGATGGACACCCTGACTCCAGACACAGGAAGAGCCAAGTCCGCCCAGCTGCTCATTCATGAGGTGACACAACCTGCTATCAAGGACATGCATGGACATTGTGATTCAGTGCTATGGGAATGACTTTCCACACTAGCCCACTGAAAATGGCAATAACAATATTAATTAACATGACTCAAAGGACCAGAAATCACAGCGTGGAATTCCTTCTCTCCGTGACAGCCACCACTGTGACCAGAAAGGTAAAGCTCCTTTACCATCACTGTCTCCCTCTTCTGGGCTGGGATGGGGTGGGAGGGCATGGACACAGACTGCTGAGAAAAGAGACAGCTTTCCCAAAGACAGCCCTGCAGTTGGGCCAGCTGAGGATCCCCTCTGGGACACAGAGCCACGGAGCAAAGCAGAGGCCATGCACACAGCCACACACGAGGCACTGCCTGCTCTCCTCACCAGAAGGATGGTACTGGGCCTTAGCAAAACCCACTGACACCACTGGGAGGTCCAATCACTCAAGTCATTGTGCATCAAATGATGCTTTTGTGGCCAAACCTGTTGCAGGAGACATGTTTAGCTGAGATATCTGCTGAAAACAACAAATGGTGGACCTTCTGTTCCAGATGTGCCAGCTGAGGCTCTGAGTACAGCTGGTAACAACTGCCCCCAGTGTTATTTCATTGGTGATACAATGATGGGAAATTGCCAAAGAAGAAAACAGATCATGTGGAATACTCTTTGTAAACAGAAAGATGAAGGCAAAAGGGAAAAACTCACCAATCCTACAGCTTACTTTGATCATTCTCTGCTCAACATGCTCCCTCTCCATGCCCTGTGGTTCTACTCTTCTGCTTATTGCAGATGAACGATTCTTGCAGAGCCTGAGCATCTCCTGTTCACCCAGGAGATGAACAAATCCCAATCCTTAGTTGAGGAATCTGTGTGCCAGACGTCCTGCACTGTGTGCAGTTTATTTTAGTAGACATGAACATGATGCCAGGGGTGTGTTTATGAGCATGCACAGAGACATTTCAGAGGAGTGACACATGATGGGAGCCATCACTTCAGGGTATGTGTGCAGCAGCTGACAGAGGGCAGAGTGACAGAGCAGAGCCAAGAATGGGCTGGAGTTAACAAGTGCAAATAAATTCCTTTTCCATGCTGCAGCCACTGTGTGTGTTTGGTTTATACTCCAGTGACTTTCCGAAAGAGATTTATGGATGTAGAAGGCTGTGGCACAGGCCACAACTTCCACAACTGGCACAGCACAAGAAGGCCACAATTCTACACTAACTCTGAACCAGTGGTGTTTCACCCCCAAATGGGAGACCAGACACCTTTGTGAGAAGGTATAAAAAATTACATGCATGTAGAGAAGTTATATTCTGCCTCGGTATCCCAACTAAGTGTATGTACCAAAGCCAACATCTAGCTAGGGAGAACAGTCATCAAGTTTTTAACGGTGGGCTTTAAAATACTCTTGACAGTTCAAAAGGTACAGAAAATAAAGAAAACTCTGTAAAGAAATGTATTTTCTCTGTTGCCTGCACCTGTATTAGTAAAAGGCACATTACATCAGCTTCTTATGTATTTAATGCACTTTATTTTTTGCCAACAAACTGGATCTAGGTATTTGGTATTTTTGTACTGCTGCACATTGGAATATATCTGCAGCCAGAGACATAATGAATTGTCTAAGAATTATAAGAAAAATAAAATTCCTAAAACTAACAGTGTTACTTTTAAATTAATAAAAATAAAAACTTTCTAGTAGAAAATGAGGATGTTCTTTAGAAATAAATATTTGAGACTCAACAACTACCAAGAGCAGACTGCACTAGCATGAGGTACTAGCACAGTTACACTGAAACTACCAAAGTGTAACAAAACAAAACAAACCAAAAATTTCTTAGGCTGTCCCAAAGTTTTCACTGCCAGCCAACATGTTAGAGGGAAACAATCTCAAGCACAGCATCAATTCAAACATTCAGAGGTGCATCACACCAACCTCCTGTCCCATAAATCTTTGCTCATTTCACTCACAAATGAGTGGCAATCAAAGTGACATCAGAAGCCTCAGAACCTCTTTAGCACAGACAGACTCAACAGATGTTTTTGTATCTAGATTAAGTCACGAGACCCAGGGAAGAACAGAGCTCACTTTCTTTCCAAGCTTGTGCTAGACAGTGCCAGCTGCAGACATTAACAGCAGCCCATTGAGGGCTGCTCCAGCAGCACGGAGCCAGCCTGTGCTAAGACGGGGAAGCTTGGCAGGCTGGACACACAACAAGAGCTGACAGGTTGCTGTCACTGGGAACAAGCTGCCAGGCCTTATCTCAACAGGAAAAGCCACAAATGCATGTTTCCCAGTAGTGATACAAGTTAAACCACTGACAGATACCAGGCAGAGGAACAAGAGAAATGGCTCCTGTCTTATCTCGGCCACTGCAAGTTCCTGAATTGGAAACATAATAAACATAGCACTGTTAAAGAAAGGGAAGGAAAGAAAAATAGGCAATCCTCTAATGCATTCAGGTGGCCTTCTGGAGCAAAGGACCAGCCACTATGTAGAGGGGACCAATTTCTACACACTTGTCTGCACCTCTCAGACCTAATGTTCTGGTTTGGATTATTTTGTACCATTGCACTCATCTGGGCTATTCCTACAGCTAGGATTCAGACATGCCAGTTGTTTGCCTGATCTGTTGCTTCCTTGCATGCATTCAGAGTAGCCTGAAAGATGCCAGCAAGTGCCCAGGCTCCTGCAGCTCTTCATCTTGTCCTGCCTACAAACCTTCTGGTCCCTGGGTCCCTGCTCAGCACTCACACAAGCTTTTGTGTTTAGGCTTCAATCAGTACTCAGATACAGGCACCTATAGGGAGCAGCAGTGAGGATGAATCCTCTTGTTTCAACCTGCAGAGGGAGATGCAGAAAAGCACAGAATAAGGCAAGGCTGCTTCTAACACAGCAACTGCCATTCCTACTGTGAAAGCCTAGGAGGAACAGCATGGGAATACTGTTACTTCAGTTGTGATGATATAAGTGTTGAAATAGCTTCTTTCCCTGAGAAACCTCCAAGTGCCAGCAAAGCCAGCCCCTCCAGTGAAGTCGTTGAAGTTCCACTGATGACTTAATGGAATAGCTTCTGTTCTGTAACATTATCCCTCTGGTTTGCTTGGCTTGTGAAAGTTTCCTTTCACACACATCTCACACATCACGCTCCTCCTTCTCCCCTCTCTCCTCTCTCCAGCACCAGCCCTCTAGTCTTCTCCAGTCAGGAAAGTGATAGTTTTATTGCAGCTCTGGAATGGGTTTATTCACCTAAACTGTCACAATGAATTTTGGACTGCAGGGCAGCCCTGTTCACAGTCTATCTCCAGTCTCCTGCTGGAGCTTGCAACACAGCTCCAGGAAACACAGCCCTCTTCTCTCCACCACATCCTGCAGCCTGCCCTAGGCAGAGGCCAGAGTGGGCCTTTACAAGCACTACAACAGCTGTAGGACTGGATAAAGCCATGAAGAGGAAGAAATGTCTGAGGAACAGCTGAATTAGGACTTTTTAGTTGGGTTCAAGGCCTTTGATTTGATTAGATTAGCCACACCTTTGCAGAAAAATCAGCTGTTAATCATTTACTGCAGCCCAAAGAGGCAACTTCCAGGCTACCTCGACAAGTCTTCAGGTACAGCAAGAGGTCCCTCACCACAGGCCAAGATCTCTTGGAGGGGTGAAGAGGAGGCAACAGAGGAAACACCTACTACAAACCACAACAGCTTCAGGTATTTATGAAATGTCATACAGCTCTCCTATTCTGGGAGGTGAACTGCAGTTAGCAAAAGAGACAGGAACTTCCTGGGGTGTGCAGTCCCATGGGATTTCTGCCTTTGGGTCTGTGGAAAGAGACTATCTAGGCTGCCTCCTTTTTGAAGGCAAAGGACTCCAGAACAGCTTTGATGTCCTGTGTGGCTGGTTAAAGACTGAGAACAGTGATCTGCCATCTACCCAGAAACAAACCATGAACTGAATAAAACTGGCTGTGTAGAAAGAAAGAAAAACTTCAGCAAGTGTGAGCTTGTGCTTCGAGTCAAATCCAGTCTGTTGAGGATGAAAAATTTTACAGGAGTAATTCTTTTTCTTAAAGTACTCAGGATACAGACAAAAGAGGCAGCAAGTCAAGCAAATTTTCAAAAATAACCAATATATTTTCATACATCTTCATAGTCACATTTACAAGAAAGTGTGAGAAATATTCCATCCTTTCCCTTGAGAGGCAAGGAAGCTTCACTAAAACCACAAGATGCTCACAAAGAGATGCTAGATGTTCTTTAGAAGGCTGACAGCCAAGTCATTATTCAAAGTATCAGTGAAAGAGCAAGTGAGTAGAACCCACTGAGATCCCAGTTTAAATTGTTACTGGACCTTGTGGGAGGAAAATTTATGCTTTTATTGCAGAGTAACAGAAACCATTAGTAAAGCAGACTCCATTAGCAGGACACCCTTTTTAACATAATTGGACTATTCTAAGCCCTATGGAAGAAACAAGTTGTACACGATCTTTGCTTATTATTGGTGGGGTTTTTTGCTTGTTTGTTTTTAAATAAGTGTTCATTTAATCTCAATTTTGTCCTCAGAGTTTAAGCCCCCAACTCCCCCTTTTAGAGATACTTCCAATAGTATCAAGGAATTTATCCCACTGAATACTTGTCTTTCATGTACAGGCTGTACAGCTGACAGAGTTCATACTGAACATGCTGGAGAGACACTGTATTTAAAATATTGATAAACTACGATTAAAATGAATCTCAACTGTCAAAATGCTGTAAAGCAAGCAGCTTTTCCTCTTTATATCTCTATAGATCTGACTGTTAAACCAGTCTTGTCTGTGTTTCCTCTGGTTTATGCTCCCATTTCTGTGAAGGGTGACCCTCCTCTGGAGGGGGATGCCTGCAGGCACAGACACCATTCATACCTGCACTGGTTTTGGGACTGTGGTTGAGGGCATGGAGAGAATACAACATCTGACCCTGTTGTTGTCTGCCCCCAGCAGGGTGGAAAGCCAGCATGTCACCAGAGCAAGAGGCATCCTCAGTTCTGGAAGACCTAAAGAGACTGATTTCAGCGAGTGACTGGGCTCTTGGAGGGCTGGTGGTGATTGGCATCTTCTGTCTTGTTTTTATTGCCCTAATTTTATTTGCTGCTATCTTTGGGTGCTGCACATCTCCAAGGCACCAACAGGGTGGTTCATAGACAGCAAAGTGGGGACCCAGAACTTGGTACAGCTGAGCAAGAACCAGCCTGGGTACAACCTGATTGTGTTGTTGACAGAAAACTCTCATCTCACTCCCTGGGTGGTTATTTCTCTCCATGTAACTTCCCTGTATCAAGAGCAATGTCCAAATGCCAGCAAGTTCTTCTGCAGGCCACAGCAAACTCAATACATCAGGCTGTCTGGATTCAGGAACTGCAACATTTGCCAAATCCAAAGTAAACTCATCTCTGAATTTCATCTTTCAAGCAAAACCACCAGCTAGAGGTGGAAAATGGTCAGCCACCACCTAAAGCTGATAAAGATGTGTTCTGCTGCTGCAGCTATGTCGGTTGGGGATTTTTTTTTACCTTGCAAAAGAGCAATAGGAAACTGGCCACTGAAAGCTTTGTCTGAACCCATTCTCTAAAAGCAGCTTAGACCATTGTCCTCCTCTCATACTCAGGCCTAAATACACTATGCAAACTTGCTTGCCAGTACACAATCTGTCTTTATTTGTTCTTATTTATAACCTTGCAAGGTCAGAGTTTGAGGTTTGTTTTCACTGTTTGGATAGTGAGTAGAACTGTATTAATCCAATATGTAAAAAAAGAAATGCAACGTGGCTTTGCTTTCCACAGAACCTCAGTTTCCTGTAGAGTTATGAGCAGGGAAGCCAGGCAGGGGTGCTGCAATATGGGATGGGTTCATATCATGGGATCATGGATTCATGATCATAGGATCATATCCCATGATATACAGTTGGAAGAATGGATCAAGTTCAGTAAGGGAAGAAAAAGTCTGGGAGAAGTGACTTCTAATTAGGTCAGTGATATTCCCTTAGTCAGATTATTACTTGGAGGGTGGTGAGATACTGGCAGGGGTTGCCTAGATAAGTTATGGATACCCCATCCCTTGGAAGGCCAGGCTGGATGGGGCTTGGAGCAACCTGGCCTAGGGGAAAGTGTCCCTGCTCATGGCAGGAGGTTGAACTAGGTCATCTTTAAGGTCTCTTCCAACCTAAACCATTCTGTGATTCTACAAAACCCAGCCACAACAGCCATCTGTGAGCTGGGAACACACCCCAGAAGGAGCAGAGCTTCTCAGAGAAGTGGATCAAATTCTTAGAACAAGAAGCCTCCCAGCAGCTGCTTCACAGCATCACCTTGACTTTGGGCAAAGAAGTGCCCTTCAAGTGCCCCAGGACTCAGTGTTGTGCCACACTTCAGTACAAGCAAGGCTATCCCATAAACCCAGGATTTGTTTGCCAAACGTGACAAGGAGAGAAGGCACTAGAAAAGCAGCACATGTTACATTCATGCTGAAAAAACTGT